TGGCTATTTAGCCCGCACATCTTATCGTGTCCGAAGGAATGAAGAAGAAACGGATCCAATGTAGCGATTGTAAGCCATGCGGGTCGGATCATTACTCCACTGATTGCCTTGATATCGACCATCAAGGAGGCATGACATAGCGACAGCGTCACATCTTGTGACTAAACTGCCTTTCCGTCCACGCCCATGTCGTTCGTTTGGTGCATCCAACCAGACGAGGGTCATGGGCAAAGGACAATATTAGCGAGTAGTGTACATCGTATTTCTGAGTTCCCTGTGTGAATCTCCCTCAAAAATCACTCCAACACTCAAGGCTGGGTTGACATGGGCACTGGCCGCAAGAGCGGGCGTGCGCGCCCGGAGAAGCCAAAAATGGAGTCATGCGTGAGCCATGCGACCATCGGAAGTCCGCTCGATAGCTTCTGACCCTCTGAGATGTTGTCCGAGCGGCTCCACAGGCCAAGAAAGATCCAGGCAGATCCTACACGCGTCGGCAGTGAGTACTGAGCAGTTGACAAGGTCAAGACTTTGAAGCTGATCCCCTGCATCCCCTTATGCTCCCAGAACTCGACCGAATTTGGGGCATCCTTCCAAGCTTACACGCTTCCAAATTCGATCCACTACCAGCAACATGCCTCCCCGCTCCAAGTCTGCAGCGAAACCGCCTACATCTTCAGCCGCACCAACCCGACCACTGCGATCCAATTCTGTTGCTCCAGCCCTTGAGCCAGAGACACCGGCTGTGGATGTGCGCCGCCGAAAAAGAGAGGAAAGGGCTCGGATGGTTGTACCTTGTTCTCCACCGTGCGCCCGACATCTTATCGATCAACAGAGAGCGGCACAATCGACGAATCCAGGCATCCCAATCACGCTCAGTACGTTTGTGCCCGAATCAGTACACATTCTGCACAGTCTGACTGCCTGCCAAGGGGAGTCTGTGGCGCGGATACCATCTCCCTCACCAAGTCCGCGTATCGATGACGCGGAGAACTTACCGCCATCGTCTCCTGCGCCCTTTTTGTCTCCCTCGCCCAGTACACGTATCGATGACGCGGAGCACTTGCCGCCATCGTCTCCCATTCCGGATAGCTTGCTGGAGATGACGCCCGCCTTCCTCGGACTTCAAGGAAGAGCAGACCTGTGGGCGAACACTCCTAACACGCTTGGTAGCGCTGCATCGCGTTTAGCCATGAACGTCTTGTCCCTGAGCCCTGTTCGACCCACACCTCAATCAGCTCGCGCCTCCAGCGTATCCACGCCACCGCAAACACCATCAAGGGATCTCGAAGACCAGAGAACACCTCGTGCTTGTCCACGAGTTGGCACTTTGTCAACGCAGAGTGAGGGGGAGATTACTCCACGTTCCCGACATCTGCCATCACTTGACGAGCTGCCAGTCTCACGAGAGGCAGAGTGGGCACTGGACGAGCTCCAAGAACTATACCTTGACCCTCACGCCGACGAGGAAGACAACCTGCTTGGAAGCAATGACGAGGCTTGTGATGAAAACGCGGCGATGGTTCAACGCTCCAATCCAGACCGCAATGGGCGTTATCGTGGACGGATCCCTGGAACGGAAGCTCCGTATGAGAGTGAAGGCGACGACGACGACTTCGAAACCGAGAAGCAAAAACGACTCCGCGCTGCATTGATCAGGGAGCGTGAAGAGGAGAAGATGAGGGACATAAGACTGAGGCGAGCTTCCAGCAATGTCAAGAGCAACGGAAGTCAGAGTGACGAGCTGCGAAACCATGTGGCTCAGGACGTTGCACTGCTAGGCGCCACAAGCACATCAAACGTGTCGACCACAGAGAAGACCGGATCTGTCAGCGTCAGCAATCCTAAATCTATGAGCCAAAAGGGTCGTCGTGCACTGTCTGGTACGAACACCGAGGCTGACAAGGGTGGCCATCCACCGAAAGCCTATTACGTGGAAATTTTGGAAGTGCAAAAGCAGCTAGAAAAGATATTGGAAAAGTACAACGTACCGGTGGAAAGAGTGATGGAGAACGTGAGCGGCGACGAGGATTCTCGAAGTCCCAAGGAACACATGTGGAACAAGTTCCAGACTTGGTACTCGGCTCAACACAAAGGTAAAAAGCCCGCCGATAGTGAGTGATTACTTACCACCAGTGAACGCTTGTGACTCACCAATCTGACAGTGCACGTCAGCGTCTGGAACAGGCAGGTCAGCAAAGCGTACAAGGATCGTTTGGCCCAGTTGGGCCAGGAACAGCAAAGCAATGTCGACGTGCTCAACGAGCATTTCAGTGATGTCCTTGATTGGTATGCAATCCACACAGAGGAAAAGATAATCGATGCGAGAAGAAGTGGAAAGTTTCCCGCTTTAGTGGCGGATGTGGCCAAGAACCTTACTCGTGTGGTCTGTAATGCAGATTCTTTCCTAGATAAGTGTATTAAACTGTTCACAGTCAGCAAAAGCATATCGACAACTCAACGTGCATGCCTTCGGAGTGATCATTGATGAAGACGGGCAGCACAGTTGCGCATGGGGGGGATCACCCGAGTACCTGCAACTGATGAAGACGTTTCCAGTGGCTGTGGATCGTCAATTGCGAGACTACGAGACTATGCTGCGGTAAGCATCGGTCAGACACTTTCGCTGTGATACTAACTGGTTTGCAGAAAGCTGGACATGGATGAACGTGCACTAGACGTGCCAATGGCCGAGCAGACGACCATAGCTTCAACTGCCCAGGCGTCAACGGCTAAGAACTCAGGAGCTCCTATCATGCGCAATCAATCGGAGCGAGGGATGGTGGGCGCAACTGGCAAGCAGTATGCAGATAAGCGAAGCATGGAACGAGCTCGCGTGCAAGACCTTTTGCGTATGGCTATGGGCAAGTACAGTTTCTTGATGTATTTGAGCCTTCTGATGGATGTTAACTAGAACGTTCGGGAGGGTTCCAGCTGAAGAAGATGAGCTGGGATATCCTGAACCTCTGCCGGCGCCATCAACTGAGGCTTATCAATTGGCCGGATGGCTTCAAGCTGCCGCAGCCAAATTGGAAACCCTCTGCGGACTTGGTACAACGGGTGCTTCCCGGCATGGAGTTGCGTGCAAAACCGGATGACTACAAAATCTTACAAGAGGATGATGCGCAGTCAATCGCAGAAAAGACTGCCAAAGAGAGACTTGCGTGCACAGCGCCCCACTTCGTGAAGTGGACGGACGGTCAGTTCTACAGAACAGCTCGTCAACAGCCCACTCATACCTGATGTAGAAGAGAAAGAGGCTGCAGACAATCCAGACGAAGTGGCCAACATTGTGTTGGCCACGCGTTTGGGGGATAACAACGAGATTGCCTGGGTTCGGGACTGCACGTCTTACAAAAAGGAGATCAATGACGCCAACGAGAAGAGAGAGGGCAAGCGACCAATGGCAGCTCGCTCACCCACTCCAGACCAGTTCTCACATTTGCGGGCGTCAAGCTTAGCTGATAATCTCAACAACAGTGACGTGGATGGCAGTGAGCCCCCGCGCAAACGTCAGCGGATCAACAGGGAGTTGCTGATGCAGCAGCTGGAGAAGGATCCCAGAGAGGGCGAGCGCATTTGTCGTTACGTCTTTGGACACCAGTCATCCAAAACGTTCTTTGTTACACGATTCCGCAGACGGAGTGTAGGGGACGCAATGATCGTAGACGACTACATCAGTCAGGGATTGCAAATAGATCAGGACGGTCAGTGGAAAAGCGTAGACCTCCGCCTCCTTCCGGTTGTTGCCGACCGGCACAGAGGCTTACACGAGACACTATACAAGGAGTTGCTTGACACCGGATGCTACGGCACAGTACTGTGATCGACATTCCTCTTACGCGTTTTCTGGACAATTATCTTTGTTTTACATTTACTACACTGTAGTTCTTGACCTAATGACTCTGTTACGCATAGCTTTACCTTGTGCAATGTTTTTGTTTCCTGCATGGCAGAGCAGAGGTTAATTGTGTAAACTTTTTTCAAAAAGAATTGTCTCAAATCCTGTACGTGGTGAGTCCTTGATGGTGAATATCTGGATCTGTGTCATTTTTTGGCAGATGTTTAAGCGTCTATGGGCGGGCCAATTTTTCTCTTGGCAATTGGCGGGCGGTCCCACAATTCTGCGGGCGGGCCCATATTTCTCTTGGCAATTGGCGGGCGGTCCCACAATTCTGCGGGCGGGCCCATATTTCTCTTGGCAATTGGCGGGCGGTCCCACAATTCTGCGGGCGGGCCCATATGTCTCTTGGCAATTGGCGGGCGGCCCCATACATCAGTGGGCGGCCCCACACATCAGTGGGCGGCCCCACACATCGGTGGGCGGCCCCATACATAGTTTCCTAGGCGTCATAAAGTCACATGGAGTGGTCCCGCGCCGGCAATCGCCGCGGTCACTGAGAATAAATCAATCTAGGTTCAAAAGAGGTATGAGAAAAATGTTGCACGTGATCCAAGTCATAAGCCTACAAGATAGTGATTTTAAGTCATAAGCCTACGAAATGGTGATTTTATATATCCATGACAAAAGCAATAAGGATTTTTGCGTGCGTCAAATCAATATTATTGCATACACTCACCCGTATTATTGATTAGACTGCAAAGGATAAATCTAGCTCCTATGTACATTGTACGCCTGTATTATCGAATAGATTGCAAATATATACTTGACTTTAACTTCCCAAATAGGTCAAAAAACGGAAATTTTTCTGGCGCTGCGCGCGCTACAAGGACCCCAGGAGCCATGGGCCCGCCCACATGCCCGCCCAAGGACGCCCGCTGGACGCCCACAAAAATGTAGCTGGGGCCCCCCAGAGCATTGGGGGCGCCCGGCTGCCGCCCAGCCCACGGCCGCCCACTACCACTGAGGTACCTTTTTTGGGCCTCAAAAAGGTACCTCTCGAGGTACAATTATGGGGTGTCCAAGGTGCCCCCCGCAGCACCCCCCCTTGCGGCACCCCCCGCGGCACCCCTGCAGCATGCTGGCTCTTGCGTGCAGAGAGTCAGGCCGGCACGCATGGAAGCGTGAGCATGAAGTTGGTGAGAGTGTGCCGTAAAAACGGAATTTGTGGTTCAGCGATGTTGGATCCCAGCATTCCACGCAGAACAGCTGCAATCATGACAAGGACCCAAACACCGCAATCGTAACTGTTGCACTGAACTGCAGTGGAAATCATGGGCTCTGCAGTCCAGGCCTCCCCATCCAAACTCAAAGGGAGCGCATATCCGTTTCGATGTGCCAGGAGTGTCATGCGGGTCACCAGTAACATGACATTCTGGTCTTTTTCAGCTCCTATGTTGAGAAAAAGAATGAAACACACCTTTGTATCAGTATACCACGGACGCTTCTGAGCCAAGCTGTCGAAGAGGAGGAGCTTTTGCTCATGTACCAGGACAATGACAAGAGCCCAGTGTTCCTGGGCTTGCCAGTGGACTGGAATAATCCAGATTGACTTATTCCAATACTCCATAGGGGCCAGATTTTTCCAGATAACCTTATCAGGAGCATTGAAACGGACTCGATGTAGATCATACGTGGAAAGAAGGGCGCATCTCTGTGCAGACAGGGCATGCAGCGAGAAGGGTTGCATGCACCATGAGAGAATGGCTGCTGACACACTGTTGAGGGTGTGTCCATTTAATCGGGCTGTTGATCCTGTGAGTAGTGCTAAATCACTTTGATAGACAGCAACAGTGGGCAGGTTTCCAGGGAGGACAACCACACGAGTTTGGAGATCACGTATCACGGAAAATTTGGCAACATGTGCTGTGAGATCTCTCAGGAGATTGTTGTCACAAGTGGATCAAGACTGGTCTAGATCAGCATTATTTGCTTTCGTGGAAGCGTTACACATACCTTTGTGAATGAAGCCCAGGATATTCTGACATGGCAATTGTCACGTTCAAGTGTTGCTGTGTCTTTGTCATCATCTGTTTCCATCATATCTGATACGGCAAGAGCCTCTTCTGAGTCTGAGGGACAGGCTGCAACCTCATCGACGGAAATGTCCTCAGAATCAACCCATAGAGACTGATTCATGTCATCTTCAAGAGGATCAGCTTCCACCTGGTTTGTGTGTTCTTCAATTGTGGGTTCTGGGTTCAGAGGCGCAGCCGGGGTCGCGGCGGGGGCTGCAGCGGGGGCTGCGGCGGGGGCTGCGGCGGGGGTCGCAGCGGGGGTGAAATTGTGGGAGCTGACAGAGAGTGTTGGGTCCATAGCCAGCAGCTGAGGTTGAGGAATTTGCAATTGACGGCGCCATCTTGATGCAACACGTTGAAGAAAGTGTCATAATTCGACTCTTTTTCATCTTATCCTCGACGATCTTATCTTATCTCGACATGGATTATCTTATCGCGGATCACGGCATCTGACGGTCTGGGCTAGGGGGACAGGGGTCATCTTTATCAATTCAAGGCTGCACGACATATGCTCCAGAAGGTTCTACTACAACCCATGACCAGTGCTCCATGCGGTACATAGCCCTATGACTCATTAGTTGTAGATATGACTCAGACTGGATTTGGGTATAAATACTGTAGCTACTTGGTTGTATTCTCCAGTCTTCGAATTCACTTCTCTTTTCGACTTTGTTTTTGGGTTGATTGTCACATAATTCGAAGACTCCCCTCATACCCTCGTACCTCTCACCTCCTACCCTGCTCCGTGCACCGCTACGCCCGCTATATCCTCTTCACCCTTATCACCCCACTCACCCTTTTACCAAATCATCTAGTCGCTCGCTGCAATCACAGTGAAAGGTTCATATCAAGCAAACAGCACCAGGCCACGGGGAACGTTGAGCCCGACCCAAGCCTTACGGTAGCTACAAGGAGTGTTGAGCACTGGGGAGAGCGTCTAGCAGCTCACCTGTGTGAGTGAGAGCTTAGTGTGGGCACTATGCGGGAGTAGTCAAGAGACTTGTATTAAAGGGTAATAGAGCCCTCCTTATATATGATACAGGGGGCTGTTTGTGTCTATTTAGGACGAGTCGACATGACTCTAGATGACACGTGATGGAGTCATAGATGTGTATCACGACATCCATCTGGCAGACGATAAGATCATCATTTGATCAATACTCCCCCACGCTGAAAACCACGGGATAGTGTTTGAAAGCGAAATCTTCATCGGCCATTCCTTCAGGACGAGTTGAACTCAAGTCCCAGTTGAGACCTGAACTTCTCGAACTTGACGCGTCCTAGGTTCTTGGTGAACATATCTGCAGGATTCTCACTGCCCGGAATAAAGAACAGTTCAACCTCTTCTTCCTCGACTCGCTCACGAATGTAGTGATAGCGGATGTCTATGTGTTTCATCCTGCGGTCTCGGTAGGCATTGCTGCCACTGAAGAGTGCACCTTGATTGTCACCGCAAATGGGTACTGGGATGGTGAGCTTGAACTGGAGTTCCGAAAGGACGCTCTTCAGCCACATCACCTGGCGACTACAATCTGAAATCGCCATGTATTCTGCTTCGGTCGAAGACTGCGCGACAGTGCGCTGAAGCCTAGACTGCCAGCAAATAATCCCGTCTGCCAATTTCGTGAAGAAACCAGTGGTAGACCTCCTCTTGATCGGATCAGCAGCCCAGTCTGAATCGCTAAATGCAATTAGCCCTCTATCCGTCGCACCATTGAAAATGAGCAAATAATTCCTAGTACCAGCCAAATAGCGGCAGATATACAGCGCTTTATGGAGGTGGTCTTGGGACGGATTGGCGGCAAATTGTGACAATTTGGTCACAGCAAATGCAATATCAGGACGTGTGCCTAGCATGATGAAGAGAAGAGATCCAATGACTGATTGGAATTTCTTCCTGAGCTCTGGATCGACTTCATCCTCATTTGGCATTGGAACATATCCAGCCGGTAGAGGGGTTGCTGCGAACTTGGCGTTCTGCATCCCAAAGCGCTCTAGCACCTTGTCGAGATAAGGAATCTGATCAATCTTGATCGAAGATCCTACTCTACTGAGGCGCACGCGCAAGAACTCTGGAGTATCTTCAGAATTGCGGCATTCCCATCGCTTGTTGAACTCAGCCTTGAGAAAGGCGAGGAGCTTCTTGTTCTTGGAGAAGAACAGTGCATCATCCACATAGACTATTATGACGGCTATGCTGCCATCAGAGTCCTTGTAGAAGAACACGCCGGCATCCGATGTAAGTCGGATCCAGCCCATGGCTTTCGTGGACTTGGTCAGCGCTTTCCACCATGCTAAAGCAGCTTGTTTGAGTCCATAGATTGCCTTGTGCAAGCGCATGACTTTGCGCTCTTGGCCTCTCGCCACAAAGCCTTCGGGTTGTTCCATGTAGACCTCTTCGTCAAGCTCTCCGTAGAGAAAAGCCTTACTGACATCGAGTCCAGACCAATGCCAATCATTGAGCGCTGCAAGCGCCATGACCAACCGGAACGTCTCATACCTGACAACAGGAGAGAATATCTCGTCATAGTCAACTCCTTCGACTTGACTGAAACCCTTGGCAACTAGGCGGGCACGTTTTCGGCCATCAGATTTTTGGTCAAAGACCCAGCGACATCTGATAACCTTCCGTCCTTTCGGACGGTCCACAAGGGAATAGACCTTGCGCTGACGAAGTGCCTCTAACTCGTCGCGGCAAGCATCAATCCAACCTTTCTGTTGTTCAGAAGGCAACTGCTTGATATCGCGGAACGTCCAATCGCGAATTTTGGACGTATCAGGTAGGTTCTCATTTGGAACCGCTTTTGACAGCAGCGCCGTGATGAGCTCTACTCCCCCTTCCCGGCATAGCTTCTCCATGCGTGCATCCTCGTCTAGATCATCAGAAGCATCCGCGTTTGAGGAATCTGGTTGCGAGCTAGGGCCGGGAACCCCTGCATCAGCACCGGTTGATGGTTGAGATTGGGAGCTACCCTTATCTTCACCAACATACCGCTTCCATCCTCTGCTGTTCTGAATGTCACGGACTATATCCGTAGGGGTACGCTTTTCCCCATAGACGTTTCCTGGACGTGTAGGCACATTCCGCTGGCGTGAAGACCTTCGAGGCTCAGGAGCTGGTGAAGCTTCCCGACTTGGTCGTGGAATTCTACTTCTACGAGTCCTCTGAGGTTCATCCCGACGCTCTGGCGGTGGGTCCTGACGATTATGACCGTCGTCACCATCATCATTTCCCTGTACGGGAGGTGGTGGAGCCGGATCAGATGGCATGGGAAATGGAAAAGGATTATCTCCATATAGCCAATCTTCTCCGTCTGCCTGTGGTGGATCTTGTGGATTCACTGGGTCATCACGTTCTGGAAATTCCTCTCCAACAGGAACGTGGGGTGGTCGATTGCTGTCAGGACAGCGGGGGAACAACTCCTCGTCGAACAATGCCTTGGTGGCGACGAACGTGGAATTGTTTGTGCGCATGAACAAAAATCCTTTCACACCATCAGGAATGCCCAAGTAGGTCATCAGCTCCGATTTGGGCGATAACTTGTTGGCGCGCTTCTCATCAGGGATAAAGACATATGCAGCGCAACCAAAGACTCGGAGTTCGGAAACATCCGGTTTTTCCTTGTGAAGAGCTTCAAATGGAGTTTTCCATTTTAGACGCCTGATAGGTGTCATATTGTAGATCCGTGTCGCATGTTTGATAGCGAATTCCCAATAAGAATTAGGAAGACAGGCAGTGAAGCGCATGGCTTCTGCCTTATCCATGATCGTACGATTGAAGCGCTCGGCATGCCCATTCTGCTGGTGAGCATATGGAGCACCCTTCTCCACTAGAATTCCTTGTTCCGCGAGAAATTCTTCCATTCCCATCCCCATGAATTCTCCCCCAGTGTCAATATGCCACTTTTTGATGGTGACATTGAACTGGTTTTTGACCATCGCAATGAAATTGCGCATAGCCTGCTTGGCGTCGGATTTCTGCGCAAGGCATACTGTCCAGCCATAGGAGAGTGCTTCGTCGAAGAAGCTCATGAAGTAGCGGTACTTGTGATAAGACACCGTGGGAAATTGTTTGAGATCCGAGTGGATCAAATCAAACGGATTCTCCGCTCGTTTTTCGGAAGGCGGGAAGGCACGTTGGTGCATTTTCCCTTGCGCGCATCCTTTACACGGTCGGGTTTCCTCGGGAAATACTAGGTCTTCTGGAAAGCCCTTGGTATTCTTCTTTGCCTGACGTAAAACGTCTTTCGACGGATGTGCAAATCGCCGGTGCATGATCTCATAATCCACCTTGTAAACAGTGGACATGGATCGCACTGTCTCAGCCGTACTAGGCTTTGACATCAGGAAGTACAATGCAATGTCCTTCCCTAGAGTTCTAAACTCCATGATCGAGAGTGGGGACTTCCCTCGGTGTAAGCTGATCCGCGATTCGTCTCCACGAACGCGAGATCCTCCTTTGAGTAAGGAGCCCAAAGACATGAGACGACCATGTAATCCTGGCACTAGGTACACTGGATATATCTGAGAAGTCACCATTGTCTTTTCTCCATGCCTTGTGACGTAATGATCGATGAAGGCTGTTCCTCGACCAATAAGGGCAACACGTGTGTTCTTATCAGCGGTCTGAGCAACAATAGGATCTGAGAGCTTCTCATATCCGACCAGATCACTAATCTCCGATGTCACATGGAGAGATGCACCTGAATCAAGAAGCCATAGAGGCCCTAATTCATGATGATGATGTTTCCCCTTACACTTAGAGCAGGCAGCAAAATCGGAGTGCACACAGAATAGATTGGTACAAAAATCATGCGAACGTATCATCAACGAATTTAGTACAGAACCTGGGGCGGCGGTGATTACGCGCTCTGGCTGTGAGCAACAATCAGAATTGTGCATGTGCCCAAGAAGGCAGGGTACTTGCCTTTCGGCGGAAGGAGCGTCCATCTCCTCCAGAAGGGTGTTGAAGTCGACGACTTCATCCCAATTGACCGGTTCAGCCTGGGCGAACTCGCTATCTCCAAACAGAAGATCAAGATCGTTCTGTTGGCTGGTGGCCATCTCGACGTCGGGGATCTCCTCGATACGACTGCGTTTGGCAGGAGGACCATCATCCAGCGTGTGATTCGAGCCGGAAGCAACCGGAGATGGAGAACGCATGATTGCGTCCTCGCGGAGCATTCCTTTCTCATTGACGATCTTGTCGAGAGTCCGGAAGCGTTCTGCGGTCACCGTCACATCCATCTTTTTGGCCAGCTCGAAGACCTTACAAGTAGGCTTCTGAAACTCGGTGTC